CTTTTAAAGATGAGATGAAGAGATATCATTTCTTATTTTGGATCCTATTTCAGTGGTGGAATGTAACGAAGTACAAATACTTCGTTACTTTACTTAAGTAACTTTTTCACGTATCTGTACTTTACTTAAGTAGAATCAATAGTGCATACTTTTTACTTTTACTTTGTTACATTTTGGAGCAATTATTATACTTTCTACTCCACTACATTTCTACAACGTTCTGTTACATTTTCGTTAAATTTTCTGATCAGTTTTTCCCCTGCCAAAATGTCATCCTGACCGTCCGTTCATCGCACGTTTCTGTCTCACCAGTGAAGTTTGGTTGCCATAGATATATCAACCCGGTCACACTAAATGCGTCTCTACTCTCTATAGCACGCAGTGTGTTTATCGTGCAATTTATACGCGGAAATTAGATTTTACATGCATAGAAATCGCATTGGTAGGTTTCATAGAGAGTAAAAGAAAGGTAGGTTTAGTAGTGATGTGGGGTGCGTGTGTATTATACGTTTGGTTAGGATTAGTATGGCAAGCCAAGAGGTTCAGAATTACGCCATAAATGAATCGCGTTTACAGCCAAACGCCGTAATATACGGCGTTTTAACATAATATGTGTTTATATATATATATATATATATATACCGTATATAGTAAGGGTAGGCTATATAGTAAGCTTGATGTGTATATTGCCTAATTGCAAGCTTGTTCAGAAATGGTGACAAAAACTTAAAATATAACTGCTTTTCCATCATATTGAACATCATTATATGAGTATTAGGTTGAATGAGTTAGAATTAACTGTTTTATTAATCATTAGAATATAGACATTAAGAGAATAAATTGTTATGCAAGTACTTTTACTTTTAATACTTAAAGTACATTTAAAATCAGGGACTTTTTACTTAAGTAGGGTTGTCATTGTGGTACTTCTACTTTTACTAAAGTAAATATGTCTCTGGTTATTTGTACTTTTACTTAAGTACTGAGATTCAGTACTTCCTCCACCACAAGAGTACTTTAAAGATGACGCTTGCCAAAAATACTCCTTTTCAAAAGTTTCTTAATGTACAACTAATGAATGTCAAAGCAGTAGGTCTCTCAAAAATGAAAATTGCTGTCATTTACTCCCTGCCATGTTGTTCCAAATGGAATTCTTAATGAATCTTTATTGAGATGTTTTCTGACAGTTTATAGTGGCCACATCTGTCAAGTTTAAAAAAGGCCCCCCCAAAAAAGCACCATGAAAGCACTGTAAATGTAGTCTGGATGACATTGCCTTTATTCCAAGTCATCTGAAGACATACAGTACATTAACTTGATTACACTGTAAAAAGTGATGAGTTGACTTAAAAAAAAATCAAGCCTTAAAATTATTAAGTAATAAACTTCATGCGTGATTGAAAAAATTAAGTTATGTGAACTTAAACTTTGCGTAAATTTAAATAATTAAGTTTTATGTGGAATTGTTATTTACTTAATTTTATGGCAACAGGTTTCCTCACTTTTTTTTTTTAAGTTAAGTCAACTGATCACTTCTTTGATCCCATGTGTAACTGACAGGTTGGACTTCATCCATCATTATTGGTTTTTGAGCATCTCATAACCAAAAATCATGATGTCAAACGTGCACCATATTTTATTTGAGTTGCAGTGGAGATTAACAGTGAAAAATGACTGTCAATCTGTTCCTCCCATAAAGCGATCAAATGGCTTCAGAAGACTTAGAATGTCTTCTGTTCTTCTTCTGTCTTCTTTTTAGTACATTTTCAGTGCTTTTATTTGTCCTTTTTGGAGTTTGACAGTCTGTGGTGATTTAAAAAACTGATGTGATTATTCTTGAAAAAAAGACTTGTGCAAAACTTCATCAAGTTTGCTGTATTTAAAACTAACCAACTCTCTTGATATTGTTCTTTTTTTCTCAGAGTTCTTCCGAGAGCTGTTGAGCAATGCAGAGAAATCTCTCAACGACATGTTCGTGCGGACCTACGGCTTGATGTACGTGAAGAACGCAGAGCTCTTCGAGGAATTCTTCCGTGATCTACACCGCTACTACAGCCACGGGAGCAGCGCTGTCAACCTGGACGACATGCTTGCGGACTTCTGGACGGAGCTTCTGGAGCGCATGTTCCGACTGGTCAATGTGCAGTATGAGTTCAGTGGCTCGTACATGGAGTGCGTCAGCAGACACATGGAGCAGCTCAAACCCTTCGGTGATGTTCCACGCAAGCTCCGCCTGCAGTTGACTCGTTCCTTCATCGCTGTCCGCACGTTCACCCGCGGCCTGGCACTCATGCCTGAGGTGGTGGGCAAAGTTTCCACGGTGAGAAGCATGCGTTTGTTTGTTTTTTGGAGTTGCTCCCGCTAATGAATCTATGCTGCTGTTAATAAATCTTTGGCACCACAGCAAAAGTAGTGATATTTCACCACAGTTTGTGGTCTGATATTTATAAACAAAAGACTCTTATGTGCAGTTCTTGTAGTGAATTAAAAACATGACCAGTTGGTTTGATTCATAAAGAAATGACAGAATCAGTTATTTTAGCGAATTAAAAACATGCAGAGCAATGAGTTAGGTTTAAAGTTTAATTTCACTTTATTTATTTATTTCCAGTTAGTAATTATAGTACTACAACTTGTTGTGAAAATGTTGCCTTGGCATCAAACTGAAAAAAGTGTCAAAGTTTTTTTCGTCTATGAATCTATTTCATCATCTAATGATTCTATTTCTGCTTTATTTTTAATTAACAAAAATGTTTTTAATGGTTTTTAATTTTACTTTTAGTATTAGTTAATGATGATAACCCTGCTTATGAAAAGAAATAAGGAAAATTCTAAAAGATAATTTTTTAATCAGTTTGAATCTGTCTTAAACACTGGCCTGTTTAAGTTACAGCATTAGAAAATAGTTTTATTTATTTATTTAATAATAATGATGTATGCAAAACTGACACACCCCAGTGAATTAGAATAAAATATATAACTATCAGAATCATATCAAAAGTTTGTAAATCAGATTTAAATTGAAACTGAATCTTAATGAATACCCAGCCCTAGCATTGACTTGTTTTTTAAGCGAGTCAGAGCTCAGGGACAACAGAGTTCGAAAGTACAGGTTTTCTGTTGGGTTTATCAGCATGTGAAGGTGGACACCTGGATGGACCCATCGGGCCTTATCTCCCAGCATTAAAAGATCAGAGGCCAAGGCTTCTCTGTGTGTGTAGTGAGCTAGCAGAAGCAATTGAACCTCCAATGACAAATTGAGCAAACACAAGTTCAGCAGTGACCTTATAAAAGGTGGCGGGGTCACTAATCACTGTTCAGTGTTTTATCAGCAACATCAGGCATATGAATTAGGTTACAGACTCATTAACCATTTCCTTCGTTGTCTGTTTTTCTGACTGCTCAATAACAATCTTCTTGTTCATCTTCTCTCTCAGGTAAACGCCTCTCCGAACTGTGTGCGTGCAGCTATGAAGATGTTATACTGCCCGTACTGTACCGGCCAGGTGGCACTGAAGCCCTGCAAGAACTACTGTCTCAACGTCATGCGAGGCTGCCTGGCCAATCAGGCTGATCTGGACACAGAGTGGAATAACTTCCTGGGTAAGAGAGTTTTAAGTAACTCAAGTAATTGATTGATAACTGAACCATTACTAGATGTAATGGAGACATTTTTCCAAACTAAGCAGAGGAGTATAATAAGCACAGATTTAAAATGAACAGGTCACATTGAAATGGTTTCCTCTTGTTCACTTGCTCTTAGGCCAATACAATTTACGTGAAGCCTCAGCTTGAAAGCAGGATTGAAATTGACTTGAATTAGGAGTGAAAGCTGGGGAGCAGCTCTGTTTTTATCCTTGCATGTGTTTCATGAAGTGTTTTGGGCCTCTTGTGGCTCTGAAGGCCGTGTGGTCCCAGGTCCCATTCTGTGCTCTCGCAAACTGTTCCTGGCTTGCGGGACTCTGGGACTGGCTTTGCTCACTTTGCCTGTCAGCTTTTGAGGGAACCTTAATTGGGGCGCCTTTTTCAGGCCTCTGTCTGTTTTACAAGCTGTTCATGAACTTAGCCTGGACCGATGACTATATGCTGCCCTCTAGTGGTGGAAATAACTTGCAGCGTAATTGTTTGTGCATTGGCTTTTGAAAATGTTGTATTGAAATAGATTGTTTTGTGGGTGTTCCTCTCATTAATGCATTTATTTTCCACTTTAGATTCCATGTTGGGTCTCGCTGAGAGGCTAGAGGGACCTTTTAACTTTGAGTCTGTCATGGACCCCATAGACGTCAAGATTTCCGACGCCATCATGAACATGCAAGAGAACAGCATACAGGTCTCACAGAAGGTGTGGTTTTTAATTTCTTTTCAAAATGACATGTAAATCGCAAATGCTTGTATTTAATATATTTATTTATATATATTTATATACACTGAATAAAATTATAAATGCAAGACTTTAGTTTTTGCCCCCATTTTTTATGAGCTGAACTCAAAGATCTAAGACTTTTTCTATGTACACAAAAGGCCTATTTCTCTCAAATATTGTTCACAAATCTGTCTAAATCTGTGTTAGTGAGCACTTCTCCTTTGCCGAGATAATCCATCCACCTCACAGGTGTGGCATATCAAGATGCTGATTAGACAGCATGATTATTGCACAGGTGTGCCTTAGGCTGGCCACAATAAAATGCCACTCTAAAATGTGCAGTTTTACTGTATTGGGGGGGGGGATCTGTCTTTCCAAAAACCAGTGCAACACATCTCCTTCGCATAGTCGTGGCACAACAATGGGCCTCAGGATCTCGTCACAGTATCTGTGCATTCAAAATGCCATCAATAAAATGCACCTGTGTTAGTTGTCCATAACATACGCCTGCCCATACCATAACCCCACCGCCACTATGGGCCACTCGATCCACAACGTTGACATCAGCAAACCGCTCACCCACACGACGCCATACACACCGTCTGCCATCTGCCCTGTACAGTGAAAACCGGGATTCATCTGTGACTACCCCTCCAAAGTGCCAGACGCCATCGAATGTGAGCATTTGCCCTCTCAAGTCGGTTACGACGACGAACTGCAATCGGATCGCGACCTCGATGAGGACGACGAGCATGCAGATGAGCTTCCCTGAGACGGTTTCTGACAGCTTGTGCAGAAATTCTTTGGTTATGCAAACCGATTGTTGCAGCAGCTGTCCGGGTGGCTGGTCTCAGACGATCTTGGAGGTGCAGATGCTGGATGTGGAGGTCCTGGGCTGGTGTGGTTACACGTGGCCTGCGGTTGTGAGGCCGGTTGGATGTACTGCCAAATTCTCAGAAACGCCTTTGGAGACGGCTTATGGTAGAGAAATGAACATTCAAATCACGGGCAACAGCTCTGGTGGACATTCCTGCAGTCAGCATGCCAATTGCATGCTCCCTCAAAACTTGTGACATCTGTGGCATTGTGCTGTGTGATAAAACTGCACATTTTAGAGTAGCCTTTTATTGTGGCCAGCCTAAGGCACACCTGTGCAATAGTCATGCTGTCTAATCAGCATCTTGATATGCCACACCTGTGAGGTGGATGGATTATCTCGGCAAAGGAGAAGTGCTCAATAACACAGATTTAGACAGATTTGTAAACAATATTTGAGAGAAATAGGCCTTTTGTGTACATAGATAAAGTCTTAGATCTTGGAGTTCAGCTCATGAAAAATGGGGGCAAAAACAACTGTTGCGTTTATAATTTTGTTCAGTGTATATTTGTTTAGTGTGTGTGTGTGTGTGTGTGTATATATATATATATATATATATATATATATATATATATATATATATATATATATATATATATATATATATATATATATATATTTATATATATTTATATAATATATATCATACACACAGTAGTCAATATTTGAGGTGGATCAAAACCTTTCATCAAAGTTATACATGAATTTTGAACAATACCCGTTCTTATCTTATGACAACTATATATATATATAACAAATGGTTTATATATTTATGGTATGTTTCAGGTGTTTCAGGGTTGTGGGCAGCCCAAACCCAACATGTATTTCCGCACTCGTCGCTCTTCTAAAGACTCGGGCTTCCCTGGCCGTTTCCGACCCTACAGCCCTGAGGCCAGACCCACCACTGCCGCTGGCACCAGCCTGGACCGACTGGTGAGGATAAGAGTTTCCCTTATTACCACACATATCCCTTCCAGACACTTTCTTTAAAAACATGTTGATTGATTCTACCAGATCAGAATGGAACATTTGTAACAAACGGTTTGTTTCCTAGTTGACGGATGTCAAGAAGAAACTGAAGCACGCCAAGAAGTTCTGGTCCACCCTGCCGGACACGGTGTGTGTTGGAGACCGGATTTCCACCGGTGATGAATGCTGGAATGGTACAGCCAAAAGCAGGTGGGTAATTTTTTTGTCTGGATCTATGAATTTAAAAAACACTTTAAAGTCCCTGTAAAGTCAAAATTAAGTATGTGTTTTGAGTTTGTCACACCACAGAAAATGTGTTATTAGTCACTCAGCCAAATTTGAATGATAAAAAAAGCCAGCAAGTACATAAAATAAGCTATCAAAATCTTGAAAAAATGAGCAGTAATCTCTGCTCTCAAACGCTGGGGGCGTGTCCACAGGCTGCGCTGAAACCACGCCCACTCGCGGGAAAGCTTAAAGGGTCACTCCACCCATTTCAACATTAATCTTTATTGAAAGTGGGTTATATATGTAGTCGAAATGTAAAAGAAATTTTGAATTTGGTGCCCTCTTGACCGAGAAAAGACAGAAAATAACTTTGGGGCGCATTTGTATGTAAGACAACAACTCCCACAATGCAGCTCCGCAAGCCACAGCTCCGCAAGCCACTCCCACTAATCCAGAACAGCGCAAACATCAGAGAAATCACTCTTCCGTCTACAAGAAGGCTAGCTGCCAAATGAGTTTGAAATTCATTTCACAAAAAATGTCTAGTTAGTTGGCTGTGGCGAGCAGGACGAGGGCGAGGGACGTGAGAGGACGGCGCAAGTGATAATGAATGACACCTGTGAGACGCAGCGGTCTCATATCTCTCACGGAGGAGCGGAAGCACAAAAGGAACAGGCCTGATTTTATGTTTTGTTTCTGTTGTGTGTGGCCAGCTGGCTTATACTTTTGTTTTGTATTTGTTTATTTTACTATTAAAACGTTTAAATGTTCGCCGGTTCCAGCCTCCTTCTTCCCACAACAACGAACCCCGTTACATTGGCAAACTCATTATTGAATTACTCGTTTGTATTTCTTTCTATATGGTGAATTATTGCATGATACCTGCATGTTCAGTCAGGTTGAAACTAGGATGGTTCACATCACAACACAAACGTCCGTGTGGTCGTCTGATTCAGAGATTTCGTCCAGGAGAAATTGCGATCGTTGAAATTCTCTGCAGCAGACGGACTCTATCTGTGTCCGTAGCGCACAGCGAGAGCACACGCACCAGCAGCCCGCCTCAGCTCGACCCAGTCCGGGCTCCTCGTCCGTGACAGGCAGCCGCCTCCTGGTCCTCCATCAGCCTCAGCTGCTCTTCACTATATTGCGGCTCGTAAAGATAGCCACGAACAGCGGATGCGAGCAGCAGAATTTCAAAATCCTCTACTTCCATATCATGTTTAGTTTCTTCCGTCATTGTCGTAACTTCCTATATCCACAGCGCTTGTTAGCTTAGCTTATAAACAAGATGGCTGATATTGCTTTCAGTATCTGCAAGTGAAGTCCCACCCACTGATCTGTGATAGCTCTGTTAGCGCATTAGGCACAACCCCCTATGGGCGGGTTTGAAAGGGTGGGAATTTGTGCTTGTAGTCTATACAGAAATCCCCCCTTTTTACACTTCCTCCTACAATGACGTCAAATGACGATTTTTGCGTCATTGTAGGAGGAAGTGAAAAAGGTAAATAGTAGATTTCTCTCGTCTCAGGGGAAAATGAAAGAATGTTGCACGACCATTCAATAGTATGACTGGTTGTCTAACAATGGACCTCTTAATGCAAATGGGTGGAGTGACCCTTTAAGCTGCCGTCGACTCGCCACACTCAACTCTACAGCCGGAATGGATGCTCGCACGGTGGGCACGCACTGCCGAATGGCACCAGTTGTCGGCGCGACGGGAGGATGAAGGCTGAGGCGGTAGTCGGTTCGGCCCCATTCACCAGTAACAGCGGATTATCAGTGAATCCCAGACAGTTATCTCCGACGAAAGTTTATAAAACTATCCCGTGTAGAGGCGGGTTTTGGCGGTGATCCTCAGCTCTCCATCAAAGGTGGCTCTTCACAAAATTAATCCACTTCTTCTTGATGTAATCGTTTTTCGGAAATTTAAATAAGGACACCGATCTGTTTTGTACGTGATCCGGTGATCGCATCCAGGTAGTACGCATTTCCGTGACGAAGGCATAGCTAGTAGCTAGCAATCTGTTGGCTGTGTTACTAATAATAGTACTGACAGTAACTCGCGATTGAGCGGCAAACTGATGTGAATGTGCTCTATAATATTGTTAGGAGCGGCCAGCCTCAGTGGCCTCAGTGCGTCATCAAGTAGGGGCGTGTCCAGGAGCTCAAGGGCTCCAGTGCGTCATCGAGCCCTGTTTTAGCCCCGCCCAGAAAATCCGGAAAATAGCAATGGTGAAAAACTGTTTAACGGTCTAACTCCACAATTCAGTACTTCACAGTTCACAGTCTTTGTAATATGTTTTAGCAATACATTTCTAACATTTATAAAGTGTTTAGAATTTTTTTTTGAAATTGCCTTTACAGGGACTTTAAGATGCAATGGTTAGGGTTTAGACTTAATTAAGTTACTTTACTTAATTAATAACTCAAATTTAAATAATAAAAAAAATTGCCATTGAAAATCTATATAAAAACATTTTTGAAAATAAAATGTGAACACTTGTGGTGTAAGAAAAAATATGGTATTACTTTTCACTTGTTAAACTACATGACTTATTTTTTTTATTTTTTTTTATAATTAAATTGAAACATTTCTTGAAAATGGTAAAAAAGAAAAGTAAAAAGGCTTTGGTCCCACTTTATATTGTCTTTCCCCTGGTTTCACAGACGAGGCTAAAGCTAGTCCCAGTCTAAAATGCATGTTTGAGCTGTTTTAAATGAAAGCAACTTGCACTGACATATCTTAAAATTCCTCATCGCCATTGTTTTGTCTCAAGATTCACATCAGTGATTTTTTTTTCTAAGGCACGTTTCTAAGCTACTTAAATGTCCTAACTACTAGGCACTAACAAGTAAGTAAGGTTATTGTGTACATTAATGTTTTTACATTATACTTGTACATTTGACAATACCTGCATGTAATTACAGCTGTAATTAATTTCTATTATTAGACTGTTGACCCTTCCTTTACACCTTAACTCTCCCTGAAACCCACCCGGCCCCACCTCAATAGCAGCAAACGTGTTTTGCAATACTATATGAACACAATAATACATTGTACCTAACAATTTTCTATCCAAGTGGTAGTTACAGACACCTAATATAAAGTGCAACCAAGTTTTTATAAAACCATATGAAACTAACATGAATACAAAGAGAGCGTTTCTAAGACCTTTTTTACACCGTAAAGATCAATTGACATAAAAAAAGTGAGGAAATCCATTGCCTTAGAATTAAGAAAATAAAATTCATGCGTAATTTGAAAATTAAGTTATGTGGAAATGTGGAATTCACATAATTTAATTTGATAAATTACGCATGAAGTTTATTTACTTAATAAATTTAAGGCAACGGGTTCCCTCATTTTTTTATTTATTAAGTTTAGTCAATTGAACACTTTTTACAGTGTAAAGACACTCTTAATGGTCATTGGACCAGATACAGTAAAAATACTTCATTCCTTTCCACACTCAAACTGCAACATTTGACAGCCCACTCAACTGTTCCTCCTTTTCCTCACGTGCAGGTACGAATCTGTCGTCATGGGCAACGGCTTAGCCAATCAGGTGTCTAATCCTGATGTGGAAGTTGACATCACCAAACCAGACACGGTGATTCGGCGGCAAATAGCAGTGCTGAAGGAAATGACCAGCTGGCTTAAAGCTGCTTACACTGGCACTGACATCTCATTTGTCAATGGTACGAGGCATCTGCTTCTGCACACTTCATTTGAGCAACAACGGCTGTGGTTACATTTATTAGAAATTCAGTATGATGCCATCATCCAAGCCTTGTTTTTAACGTTTATCTGTCTTTCAGAGGATGCTGGCAGCGGAGAGGAAAGCGGAAGTGGCTGCGACTCGCCCTCTTGTGACAATGACGGCGACATCTACTTCTCCACCCCAGTGCCCGATAAACCTCGCATCATCAAGCTTAATGCTGGAAACCAGCCCTCTAGTGGTACACGGTTGGCACCCTGCAGTCTGGCAGTGGCAGTGGCAGCGCTCCTGCTCGCCCTACTCACCCTTCACGCGAGATAAGACCGGCTGAGAGAGGAAGAGGATGTGTGTTTGTACGAATTTGAACAAGAGAGTCAGAAGACGGTGCTTTGGTTCGTCAAAACTGCCATAGGACATTAAAGACACTGCTTTCAGGATCTCCGTCTGCCTGCCATCAGGGGAAGACACTCAAGTTATTAATATTCAAATAACTTCCCTTCAGTGTATTTTTTTGTGTGTGTGTTTATAAGAACGGACTTCATACGTTTCCACTCAGCATTTCACGTCAGCTGGGTTTTATTCCTCCATGTCTGTAAAGTCCAGAATCGTCAACCTGGTTATGGTTTAAATAAGTGCCGTGTTTGTTTGAAAGTAGGTCAGACTGAGTGTGTGTTTGGGTTGGATGGTGTGTACGATTGGCTGTATACATCATCCAAGTGCTTTCTCTAAAGCTAAACAATTAATCAACCCTTATAACACATGTATGATTTAAGCAAATCTGTATGAAGTACTCATTAGACTGACTTTTAATCCATTTTGAGCGTGTGTTGATGTGCATGGAGGCTTCGGTTAGATGCAGATCATGTATGTTCCCTGAATGTTATTGAGGTTGATAAATACTTAATGATGCCTTAAATAGTTTATAAACAAGCCCTTTATTAGGGCTTATTTATAATATATACAATGCTGCCTTATGAATGACATCAACAGTACAGGATCCCAGACACAAAGCAGTTATTCTGAAAAATAGCTTTTCTGTATTTGTTTTCAAACAACTTTCATAGCCCCCATCTCATCATCCCAAATACTTTCAGTGGTATAATATATAACTTGAGAATGTAGTCTTCGGTAATAACTTAATAGTGTGTGATGAAGGAGCTTTGTTTAGGTAAGGTCTGTGTGAAAGTTGATTCATTGATGAATAGGCCTTGATGGTTCCATCAACGATGATCATGTGTGTTTCCTGCATGATGCAGACATTGTGGCCTGAGAAAAAATAGTTTTTTACTGGATGTTTAGTTCTGAACTTACAGCAGGACCAGCTGGAGATGCATGTATGCTGAAGATGGCGTGAGACTGAGCTATGGATGAATTTTACACAGGATTTTATGTGGTGTTTATCTGGCTAGAAGTGTATTATAAGGTATACAACTATAATATAGGTACTGCAGATTTCACTAGACAGACAGCCGGTGCTGATTTGAGAGGTTGGGTGGCCCTCTCTTGGTTCTTTTCTGTTTGTAACACAAAATGTCCAGCTTTTTTCCATTCCCGATTTAAATCCATAGAAGTCGGTACGGTATTTTAAAACCATTCCTCATATAAAGCAATAGACTGTGTGCGTGTGTGGTACGATCCAACACCAGTGGACAGGTTTTTTTTTCTTTCGTTTTTTTCTCCGAGTTCCCATTCAGATGTCTGACAAGTGCTCGTTTGTTGGTTTAAAAGAAAGGTTTTTCACCTCAGAAAAAAAACCTATCTCCCCTCGCTCTTGTACAGTAAGTTATTTAACCACGTGTCTCTTTGAAAGGCATTCGCAAGCATCGCTTTTCTAGCTATCTTAATTTCAGTATTCAAAATATTTATGTCTGTAGATGAATGCATTCTAATGATTTCACACTTTGATGGTTTTATATTGGCTTTAAATTTCATAATACATAATATTTAGATTTTGTAAACTGAGCTACCATAAGCATTTGTTTTGTCATAGTTTTATGTAAGGGGATTGTGAAAATTGTACAAGCTGATGCAAGGACAGGGCTGGCCATCGGTCCTTGATCATTCCTGATGTCACATGCACTTTTAATTGGCATTCAGATACCTCACAGCAAGAGAGTTTTAAATGATGCTTTTAATCATATCTGCAGCATGCATATTTGCTTTTCAACTTTTACGTTTGTTTTTATTCATTCATTTGGAGATTCACTCAGTATGTATGGATGAATGGCCAGTCCTCGGACATGAACAGAATCTTGTCAGGGTTTCAGGAGCCTGAAACGAGTAAATATCTCCACAGCAGTAATGCAACGCACCTCAGATTGGATATGTATTTTTTTCTAGGCTGATGTGCTGCCACGAATAGGAAGCAATATGTGCTTTCTGTCCTTCCTTATGACCTAAAGCTTCCCACTGTCACATGTTAAGATGGCTCTGATGTAAAGACCAGGAAAGGAAGTGCTTAGTATGTCGAGCTACTCCAAGTCAGTGTGAAGATGACATGGACTCTTAAATGAACCTCTGCAATGTCATCTTTAGTTTGAATGCTGAACTTCAGGTGGACAGATTGCAGGGCTTGCAGCCCTGTATATCAATGGAGTCATCTGTGATGAGTCAGAGAGACTGAAGAAAGAAAAGGAAAAAAATTGTAAATAATGAGCAGTCGTTTTAGTGGTCTCTGAGAGATGTTCATCAGATTTTACCCATTCAGAGTATGAGCTTAATATGGGCAAAACAAAGAGATAGATGCTAAAAATGTAAGAGAAAAGTTATATTAAACATTTCTTAGTCTTGTTGAAATAAAGACTGCAGATATTTAAATGTGTTGTGTGTCATTTCTGCTCTTGCCAGTATTAGCATTTAACAGTATACTGAAGTGCATGATTGCTTTGAAAATCTCTTTGAGGGACCCATTAATGAAAACAAAGGATGACTTAAAACAATCATGAACATTGATTAATCAAAACCATTAATTAAGCTGGTGTTAAATCGTCCTTTAGTCTTCCTGTGTGTTATTACATTAAACTGTTAAGACAAGATGAAGACTGCTAGATATGAATATAAGGCTATTAATATCCCTTTCTGCATTACCATCAAAATAAAAAATAACGATCCCTTGAGGTTTTCTTGCAATAGTACAGAAAAGAAATGTGATAAAGACCATATCAAGAAAGCTACACCTTCAGAGACTCAAATCAAATCAATGTTAGCAAAGATTCATAAGATCCCTTTCAAATGTTATTTGATTAGATAGATTCATAGTCTCGATCGTGTTTATTTTCTATTGGAAGGAAACCTTATCCAGTATGGGACATGCATCATAATAAAGATTATAAATGTAAGGTTATATATATATATATATATATATATATATATATACTGTATAAATAAGTAATGTTTTATTGTGGTGGTTTATAACAAATCTTTGGGAAGTAGCTGCTTATAAAGTAATGTATTAATAATTAGTAAATATGTATATATATATATATATATATATATATATATATATATATATATATATTAGTTATTCATATATGCAATACATTAATATATAAGCAGCTACTTCCCAAAGATTTGTTATAACAACCACAATTTAGCACTATTTATTTAGGTATTTAATGTTGTTTTTTGTTGATGATAGTTTACAACGATAATATCAAATATAAAACAAATTGTTTGTTTATCAGAGGAGACATTTTAGCAAATTAAATGTCTAGACAACCACTTGTAAAAAAAATAGAATTTGTCCCCCGAACCCCCCCCCACCCCCCCCCCCCCCTCCCCCTCTCTCTCACAATTGTCCTCACGAGGACTTTTATTGTGAAGAGAGAAATGCGGGTGCGGAGGGAACGGGGAAGAGCGAGTACGAAATTGTGGCTGAGGTAAACAGCAGAAGTTATCTGTAGATCTCAAAGCGATACGATATAACTACGGACGGGTAAGCCTCGTGGAAACATGTAGACATTAATTACGTTCGATACTAGCAGACAAACATCCACAAAAAGCGCTGGGCATGTTCATGTTTGGATGTGCTGAGGCTCGAGTCGCAGGTTTTGTTCTACATTCCTCCCGGCCGACGCGACGCGGTGGGAACCGCACAACTGAGTAATGCTTTCACTTTTCCAGAGAGAAGATGGATGAAAAATCCTACTACAGCCGCCGACTCATCGCACTGCTGATGGTCCTGTGTTTCGGCGTTATTGTATTACAATACATATGTCCTACGTCCGACTGCCAGTTGCTACACCTGGCATCATTGTCCTCGAGACTAGGGAGTCGCGCGCCCGGGGATCGCATGAACGGAGCCGGTGCGGGAGATCCGTACAGCTCAGAAGACGGTGCTTTGGTTCGCTTTGTGCCTCGCTTTAATTTCACCACCAAAGACCTTAATCGCGCTGTTGATTTCAATATCAAGGGGGACGATGTTATAGTGTTCCTCCACATTCAGAAAACCGGGGGGACCACGTTCGGGCGTCACCTGGTCCGCAACATCCAACTGGAGAGGCCGTGCGAGTGCCATGCGGGCCAGAAGAAGTGTACTTGCTACCGGCCGGGCAAACGGGACACCTGGCTGTTCTCTCGCTTCTCCACCGGCTGGACCTGCGGTCTGCACGCGGACTGGACGGAGCTCACTAACTGCGTGCCTTCTTACATGAGCAACCGTGAGTCTCAGGAGAGGCGTGGGATTCCCAGGTGAGTGTTTAATTGGTTTTTATGTGTAATAAACTGATTTTAGTGTCTATAATGGACTAAAACGCGTCTTCACAAACAAACTTATTTCTTTTGTTATGGTATTCTGTGTTGTATGGTGTCACGGTGTGCTTCTCCACTCCTTCCCCTCATATTGTTCTCGTTCAGTTCGGGCTGAAGCCTCTTAGCAAGTCAATTATGTGGAGACAAAAGGCCTCCAACAGGTCAGACTCAACCCCAGAGTGCTTTCATTCAGCGCATTCCTGCAACAGGGGACCCATCATAATCATTCACCCTTTCAGACACCCTGGAGGGCAGACAGCCTGCTGGCACCAGAACATCTGCCATTCTCTCAGGCTTGTCCTTTAAACAAACTCCCCTTAGCATGGGATAAACAGTGTTTGATAATGTTTGCACTGGGAGGCATTGCTTTTGATAAATAAGCTTTGAGTGCCTTAAGCGTAGTAGGTTGGTACTGTTTTAAAAGCTACACTACTGTTAAAAAGTTGTTTAAAAAAAGACTTATACTTTTATTCGGCAAGGACGAATTCAGTTGATCAAAAGTGTTAAAGACACTTAATGTTACAAAATTTCTATTTCAAATAAATGCTGTTCTTTTGAACTTTCTATTCACCAAAGAATATCGAAAAATGTATCACGGTTTCCACAAAAATGTTTAGCAGAAAAACTGTGTTCAGAGCAGAACAAATATTTCTTGAGCACCAATCAGCATATTACAATGATTTCTGAAAGATCATTCATGTGACACCAAAGCCTGGATACCGATTGTTGTTTTGGTTGATAACTGATGAATGACAGATATTACAAATCTATCCTTTATCTAATTAAACGAAAATCCCTAAAAACTAAAATTGTTTTACAAGTGAATTTGAGCATCTCAATTTAATAATGTACAGTGTGGATTTTAATTGAGATCTGCTAAAGATTACATGCAACTTTTTACATTATTGGTATTTTTAAATATTAACTTTAAGTTAATGTCAACTTTATTTATATAGAAGCATTAAACAACGATTGTTGACCAAAGTAATGTACAACATAACATTACAAACACCAGCAAGACCAGAAACTACACAAATCAGATATGATTAAAAGTCATATAAAGGGAATTACAATAATCAAGCCTTGTCGTTAGATAACTGCAAATGTAAGCTAAATGAAAAATAGGGGGTAATGAACTATTAAATATACAACAATATTGACTGATGTATATAGATACAAACGCATGAAAGGCCTGTTTTTCAAATGGACACAATTAGATGAAATCATTATCCCATGGGCTCATTGTTGGCTTTCAAGTAATGAAAAAGTTGAGGCTCACCAGAGACGTTCTCTGTGCTGTTGTTGAATGGATTTGTCCAGCCAGTCTTAATTGATATTCGTATGGAAACTGTTCTGGATGTGAGCTGAAAGATGATTCTTCTTATTTGCTCATTATGCTAAAATGCCCATAATTACAGTCAACCAGCAATAATTCATTCCGTTTTCCATCAAGATTGCTCCCCTGACACACTCCAACAGAAACTACGCCATGAATAATTCTGTTACTGTGAACATGCACAAAATATGACAGCTTTACTCCACTTAATGATTCATATGCAATATTACATTTCATTTTGTTTCTTTTTTTTAGTCAACAGAGTTGACTTGCTTTAGTTTAAACTCATTTGGCCACTTTTTTGATAACCTAATTTGATCAATTCTTCTCTTTCCTGTCTCATGTAGTAGGAACTACTACTACATCACGATCTTGAGGGATCCAGTGTGGCGGTACCTGAGCGAATGGAGGCACGTTCAACGCGGTGCCACATGGAAGGCCTCTAAACACATCTGTGATGGCCGTTTACCCACCCTGACCGAGCTGCCCAGCTGTTACACTGGTGACGACTGGTCGGGCTGCTCGTTGGAGGAATTCATGGCGTGTCCTTACAACCTGGCCAACAACAGACAGACCCGTATGCTGGCCGACCTCAGCCTGGTGGGCTGCTATAACCTCTCCATCATGAGTGAGAGCCAGCGGTGGGTCATGCTACTGGAAAGTGCCAAACGCAACTTGCGAAACATGGCCTTTTTTGGTCTGACAGAATATCAACGTAAGACTCAGTACCTCTTCGAGCAAACATTCCGTCTGGCCTTCATCGCGCCATTCACACAGCTCAATGGCACCCGCGCTGCGAGCGTAGAGGTGGAACCAGAGACTCAGCGAAGGATCCGAGAGCTGAACCAGTGGGACGTGGAGCTGTACGAGTATGCGCGGGACCTTTTCCTGCAGCGATTCCAGTACGCCAGACAGAAGGAGCGCAGGGAGGCCCGTCAGCGACGCCTGCAGGAGAGACGCAAGCTACGTGCCAAGGCGAAGTCTTGGTGGGGGGTGACTGGAAAAGCTGTTTTTAAACCCACCAAGGAGCCATCAATGACAGAACAATATCCCGCTTTCTCAGAAGAAAATCAAGCGGATGCTGGACAAAAGCTGGAGAGTGAGACAGAGGGACAGGTGGAGGACAACTGGTTAGAGGAGGATGACAATGAAACCATATTGGACTATTTAGAAAATGTGGAGCAGTGGCGGTAGCCAACAGCTATTTGGGAAGGGGGTTGAACTCAATAATGGATTAGAAAATGGTGAATCCATTTTATTACTATGGGGTACCTATAATCCTTTTAGCCCAAATCACTGCTAAATATTAGCACGTACGGGTTTGTTAATTGCGGGTTGCTCTTTTTGTGACACATGAATTTTGTGTAACGCACATCATAATTCCCATATATATATATATTGATTCATAGCACCAGTTCACTGTCAAGTATCATATTTTAAATTATCGTCTTGCTGCCTGACCTCTCTCGTGACTTGTGAACTGAAGAGATGCTAAAATCCAGAGTCCCATCCCCACTCTGCCCTTGAGAGAGGGCATTATGACTCAAGGTTGCAGGTAGATCGTCTCTGCAATTAATGTACTGAAAATCACTATGGAGGAAAAGCAAATACATAGCTTAAAAACTTATCGTTAAAGCCAAAGAATGGAATGAAACATTTTCTGATCTTGCTGTTCCGAGGAAGAAGCTGGTAGCAAACCCATTTTTATTTGCATACCAGTAATGCAAGATTTCAAAATATTGCCTTTTTTTTTATTTTTTTTTAAGTGTCCTCAACAGTCACAATCCCATGCACATATGTTGCCTTTTGTTGAAGATGTCCAGCAATTGTCTTTTGGGTTATTTTTTGATTTAAGATGTTTTATATGAAATGTATTTCTTTCTCATTCCTTTTATTTATATGTTTGCTAATAGGATCACATGATATGGGATGGCTCATGGTACATCAAAATAAAATAAAAAACTTTGTGAATTACTTCATCTTTATACCACACCATAGGTTGTACTGAGGAACGCAGATTGCTCTGCTGGAAAATGAATAACATTTGTGAGTACAAATAAATATTTTTTTTATAATAATCAAAATTGCTTGCGTCTAGTTGCACTTGATCTAGAAGGGCGAGTCTTCATTTTTGCCTTTTTTTTTTCTTTACAGCAGATGGAGCCAAAGTAACACCCATTGCTTTGAATGGAAGCTTACATGTATAAACACATTCGATCTGTAGTAGGCCTACATTAGGTGTCCTATATCACAATACACATTTTAAAGTGTATACTGACATCTTTCTGCCTGTAATTAGGCTATAAAGCTCACTAACTTCTGCTGTTTAAATCCCACAATTTGTTTTTGCTTGTCGCTAGTGGTTTGTGCTGGCTGCTGCAATTCACTAATTCACTCTTCTGTGAATATTGCCCCTTATATTTCCAGTTATACTCATTTTGTTTGGATCATGCACATCTGTATACATACCATCTTTCCACACTATCCCATTGACCCAGGCCCATGAATGTATTTATCAATTATATAAAATAACATTTATCCTTAATTGGTTAATTGTACGTCATGTGATGACCTGCTCTATGTACAATAAATCGGTCTTTTCTAGAAGACTTTTTTGGGGGACTATTTCATGCGAGTTATACATATTTTTTGATAATATTAAAAGTAATATTCATTTCTTTATGCAAAGTTTCTTAGTTTAAAAAAATGTTGAGTGTACCTTTAAACACCCGTTACTCACAAGCAAAGTAACCGTTGCTTTCTTGTCTAAATATAGCTGCTGTACTGTACGACATCAAATGCATTAAATCCACTTTTCCTTAAGGCTTTGCGTGAAATATTTCTCATTATAGGTGTCCTCATATAGATGAGGCGCAGTTAGCACTGAGGTCGAATGGGAATCCCCCTAAAATGGAGGCAATACATGGGAATGCACGTAGTGCACACTTTCGCTCTACTCCTCCCTTCTGCCCTCCCTCGTCTCGTCTTCTGCCTAGCAGCAGCTAGCAAGTTCGCTTCACGCTTCCCCATCGCTAGCTTCGTTGTTCAACTCGAAACACCCCGCAGCCGCTGGTCATTTTACGAGGCTTTAAGCTGCAAACTGCGCGATCGAAAGCTCTCGGTTAAACGCGGGAACTTTTGCAACCAAAGCGCGCGCCTCACATCAGCCAGTGATCGTGACGTAGCTATTGACAAATCTTTATTTCGCTTTGCGCTGCATTTGATGTCATCCGAGCTCTAGTCGCGCGCCGTCTACACAGGTGAGTCATCTGCTTTCATAAAGACTAATATTTCATATTCTGTATCCAGTCTTGCCGCACATGTTATTGCAAATGCGATGGGTGTAACGTTAATGCATTACTCGCTGTCACGACTGACGCTGGCTCGTTTATGGGTCTCCATCTCTAACCTTGCTTTTGCGCACATGGCCTTTTCGCACCGTGACGCATAAAACAAAAATTTTACTTTCTCCATATTCTTAGTAGCCAAGTCTATCATTTGACCTTACCGCAAAAGCTGTCACTTGTAATAAAACGTCCGTAATGCATTTCGGTGTCGAGCATTGATCATACACTTGCTGACAGCTGTTGAGCTTTCCATCAGTGCTGTGGACTGTGGTGCCCTGAACAGCACCTAGTTTGTAAACTGGTTGGATGGAGCTCAAACTCTGCTCACATGTTATGAGCCCCTGCAATAGTCAGGTGCAGTGGGCTGTATGTCTTTTCTGATGCTGTATTTGTGTCTGGCATCTCAAACAAGTAATGCTGTCATGCTGACATTTCAATTTTTCATGGCCAGAGCTGGATGTAGTCCCAACCATAAGGTATTCACCCACGGTTGGAGCTGAATTTGTCCTTGATTTCCTGGAACATGTAAAAGGTGGGACTGGAACTTGTGTGGGTGGTTTTGTATCTTGGTGTGGTTGAAGTTAAATGTCCTTTGTCCCGCTTACCCTTAACATCATCGGGCATTTGCCAGCACAGACAACTGGCCAAAGCCGAATGCTGTAGTTTATTTTGTTGTCCAGGCTTGAATGTATAGCTAAGCATTCCTTCTACAACACATTGTTGAGTCTGATGACCTTTATTTTGCACGGTCAAGCCTGTTTATGGTAACGGTTTAGTATACAGGGTTCCGATAGTCCCTCGGGAAATTAATAAGTTATTAAAAATCATGGACATTTCTTCAATATCTACAATGTGTTAGCACCTAGATAGATGTATAACACTTTATAATAATGTTGTAAATGTTGACATTAGCCAACGCAGTAGTTAACATGAAAATTTAGCAATTTTACATTATTAATGTTTTACACTCATTTATTTTGAACATTAAAGTTGTATTGATTCAACATTAATGTATTGTAAACTAATATGAATTCGCATATGAATTAACATGAACTTGGATAAATAAATGCAAAAAAAAAAAATCCATTGTTCATTATATCTAATGCATTAATAAATGTAAACCAATTGAATGTTATTGTAAAATATTACCATTTATCATAGTTTGTATTTATAAAATATTTCACTGGCTAGATATAGTTCTTTGTACATTTCACAGTTGTGCCATATTCAAATTTCAAGAAGATTTTTTGGGACGAGACATTTGTACATTAAGAAGTATAGCCATGACATGTTCCATTGAAAATTGAGTGTTTTATTGACCTGTGCAGAAATTAAAACAGCAGGGCTGGGGAGGTCTGGACAACCGTGTCCCTGAAACTGCCAGTTGTTGCACTGCACTTAGGACTTGCTTCATATAAAAAATGTTAAAATCTATCTTGGCTACAGATTTTGTGCGAAGAATATCAAATAAATAATACATGCATGACAATACAGTTGCGCACCTGCAGTCGTGTGAGTGGCAGTTGATATTCTGTTTGATTTCACACCTTGTGATGTGCACTGTCAAAGGTCAGGTCAGAGGAGTCCTGCTGCTTTAGAGGGCTGGTGTCTGTCAGACTTCAGTGGCATCGCTGCCCTTTAGTTATGTCTGCGATTTAAAGGTCTTCACATGGCTGACAAGTCATATATTTTTGTGGTAATACCAGGCCAATACATAGCACGTACCCTCCTTCTCCCTGAGGGGTCTGTTTATCCTGCACTTCCTGGTTTAAATTAGAACTAGACCCACATACGCCGTACACAGACTCAGAACGCTGTCTGACGACAAGCTCCATTAGTTCCCAGTGGTCACAAGTGGTCAGGTAGCCATAGACGAGAGAAAACGAGAGCTAAATCCTTCTCAGAGGTTTGGGGTTAAATCAGGTGAGCTGCCAGTAACCCTCCTTATGGTTTTTACCTCGTAGGGAACAGATAGGGAATAAAATATTAGAAGCCCCCTGATGGTACGTGTGCGCGTCTGTCCGATGTCATGATTTTAGATTGTGAGCGATTAAAATGTCTCCACGATCTGCTTTTGAAGAAATATCGTAGTATCGTGCTACAGTGCACATTCTGACAGTTGCAGTTCTGGCGAGGCACCCTTGTGCCAACATACTGTACAAATCAAGCGACGTACATTCACATCACATGATTAGCAACCCAGTGGTAGGGTTACGCTCACCGCTCATGTGACATTGCAGTTCTTTGCAATCACACAAGTGTATTATTTGCATGCATTTTAAAGCCTTACCAGTTAAACATTTTTTTTTGCACACTGTTCTGACAAATGCTTTTCTGAGCGCGAACACCCGAAGCGCATGCACTAAAAGCCTGTCAAACAGCATGTGAGAACTGAACTAAGTTCTCTTTCGCGTCTTATTGTGCTTAAACTGTCAATTACACACAGGGTTTACATTAACAAAGTCAGTTCAGTCTTAAAGGGTTAGTTCACCCAAAAATAAAAATTCTGTCATTAATTACACCCTCATGTCGTTCCAAACCTCTTTGGAATCTTCGGAGCGCAAATGAAGATCTTTTTGATGAAATCTGAGAGCTTTCTTGTCCCTCCATTGACAGTCTACGCAACTACCATTTTGATGCTTCAAAATGGTCATAAAGAGATTGTAAAATTGAGCAGTTTGGTCCAAATTTTCTGAAAAGACACGATCCCTTTATATGATGAACAGATTGAATTAAGACTTTGCGTAGTCTAGCGTACACTGTCAATGGAGGGACAGATTTCATCAGAAAGATCTTCATTTGTGTTCCGAAAATGAACAAAAGTCTTACTGGTTTAGAAATACATGAGGGTGAATAATGACAGAATAAACCTACATATTGTGCCTTTAAGTGAACATAAACAGTTGGGAGAAAACCGGATGTGTGTCTGTATATTTGATCCAGCATGGGGTCTTAAAGTGACAGCAGTCTAATATACTTGCCTCCATTTATCATTAATGTTAATCAAAAAAAGACAGAAAAAAATGTCTTACTGCTCTTCACTGAATAACTTCAGTAGCTTTAATAAGTATATTGTATTTGTCCTAATATTTGTAATTTGCTTCTTTGTTCTTATTTTTAATAACAAAAATAAAAAATGTTTTTCAAATAGGCAAATTAGTTCTGCTTTGCTGCTCAGTGACATATTAAAACCAATATGAAAAAAAATTGTGATAAAATCTAGAAAATAAAATGCATGATCTTCCTGAAAAACAATCTATGATATTTTTGCCATATCGCCCACCCCTACTTGATGGTCCCACATGCTCACGTTCTCAGTCTTACGTTAGCACCTCATATCCGCATATTGCCGCATGTGCTGAAACTGCACCACAGGTTCAGGCATGTTTGCCACTGATGCCGTGGACTTTGCTCTCGCTTTCATTCTCCCTATAAAATTAATGATAAGAACAGAGAGTAGTGTTACTGTACACATGTCCTCATTTCCCCTCTCCCGCTTTGCTGGACCAAACATGGTAGTTTATGCCATATGCTTTGAAATGGCAATAAAACGTGGTCCTGGGCTGATAAAGCAACACATGATCAAACATTGAGCGACTATAATATTGATTGAGCTGTCGTATTTAGCTAGCTTGCTGTAAATATCGTTTCTCTATCTACTGAATCTATAAGAACTAGACTATTGCGTTCTATAAATATGGCCACTGCCCTCTTTTCGCAAGTAGGTTATGACATGCTCAGATTGTGTTACTCACAAATGAGCTTCTAACCACTATTCTGTAAAGTGCAATGCACCATTTGTCCAACTAATTATCATTTGGGTGCATTTGCACAAACGCAAATGAGGCTTTGGCAAGTCTGCGCTTAATTTAAAATAGTTGACCTGCTTTTGAACGCCTTGTGATGTTTATAATTGCATAAAATGATGTATTTGATCCTGCACTTGCTCTTCATAGTGGTTTCGTTTCTCCAGTTTGTTGTTGCTACATTACACTGAGCTGGGCAGAGGGGAAGAGGCTCAGCCTGTTGTAATGTGTCATGTTGCTTTAAGCCTATGATTTTAGAGTTTGTTTGTGCTCTCCAGAGCGCTGTACGTGTCTCTGTCCTTGCTGTGAGTTTTTGAGGGAGCTCAGGCAGCCTGCATGTTTTTATGAATGGAGGCAGTGGGGCTGTAATAGGCTGAAAGGATTATATATACTTAACCTAATTATTTTTCCCTGTGGCTGGGGGCTTTTCTCCTCTCCCAGTCCCGTCTCACAAGCTCTTGATTCTCAAGACTTCTCTCCACCATGTCAGACCTAGCATGTCTCCACCTAGGCTGTCAGAACTGTCCATTTCTGTGGGTTTTTTTTTTAGTGAATGCTGCAGTTCTGGCTCTGAGGAACAGAGAACTATGTGTCCATGTATTTTTGCATTGCTTCCTTTCATTAAGGGAAGTACGCACATGGCTTAATATCGGTTACATTTGGGTCATACTTCTGCATCAGATTCTCTGCACTGATCAGCCTTGTCCTTTAAATGTCATTCAGACAGTTTGTTCCCTGTAATGGCCAGGACAGTGTGTCTATTCATACGATTCAATCATTTAAAGAAGTATGCAGCCATCTTATACTGATTGAAACTCTTCTTAAAGGGATATTTCACCCTAAAATGAAAATGTAGTCATAAATTACTTGGAAAACTTGGAATCTTTTTGCGTCTTTTAAAAAAAGCTTGATGCTGGTCGCTATTCACTTGCATTATATAGACATTTTATAGAACATTTTTTTATTATTTTATTTTAGGGTGAACTAACCCTTCAAATGAAGGAACACAAAAAGTGCATTTGAAGGATAACTGAGGCTGTCATTTTCAAAAATGACAATTTCATGAAAGTCGTCCATAGGAATCGAGCACTATAATTCAGTTAAACT